CCCTACGTAGTTTCAACCTGACTGTATCTACGAAATTAGCATCCATTGGCCGTTGTCTTGTCAGTCGTGAGTTTTCTGTATGTGTTTCTCCTGTGCCGTAAGGATAGATGTATGTGTGTCCCGTGCCATAGGATCAGACTCACAGACTACCAATGTACATAATACAGTGTCAATAGTAAATATTGCAGCTATGTTTTGACAGAAAGTTTAAATCTGTTTGGTCAGAGATACAGTGAACTAAGACAAAGCAAAAACACTACTTAAAAGGGAAAGAAGTGTGTGTGAGCCTCTCTGTCCTGTCAACACACTGAAGACAGCCCTGTCAAGTGCTTCTTACCCTTCCCATCATTTAGAGCTGTGGAGATGGAGAAAAGAGTGCTTGCCAAATGAAAAGAAATTAAACACTGGCTGAATTAAATTTAGAAGCATGCGAGATTTTAGGTAGAGAGAAGCATGTGGCTCATTCTGAAGTTTCACTTGACTTCTCTTAAAACTTTACTTGGGCTGTGAATTTTCTTCACCTCCTCCCCACCTGATGTGTTTTAGGTTGAAATAAACTACTGATATGTTCTTCCATGCTTACACCTTTTCTAAAGTACCTGAGTCTGTCATAATTGTGATTCGTAGTTTGCAGTGGTGTTGAATTTTGAGTGGTCCTTCATTGGCAACATATTTTTCTTTCACATATAGTTGAAGTAATGACATATGTGTCATGGAAGCTGAGTGCCTTTCCCAAAAGCAGAGTTATTGGAGTAGGTGCCAACCTAGATACCGAGAGATTTCAGTATGTTCTGACAAACCTGTTGAAAGCACAGGTGCTGGCAAAAGATGCTTGGATTATCGGTGAACAAGGGGAAGACAAAGGTAAAGTGATGCTTTATTATGACTATGAGTATGTAATGTCCTGGAAGTGCTTAAGTAACTGAATAATGAAAGAATAATTGAGAGAAGTAGTGACGGTAGTCGTAAGCAGGGTGGTAGATTTGCGTAATAATGGTTCTAAATAATACAATTTTGGTGTGTGCCCAAGGCTGTAGAGCTGGAGTGATACCAAAGTATTCAACATTTGACACAGGGGAAAAAAAAAAAAGGAAAAAAAGAAAAAAAAAGAAATATAACCTCAAATGCTTTTTACTTGGCATGACAATAGAGGTTAAAGGTACAGAAAGAGGAAGGAAATGTGGTATAATATATGGTAGGTTACTGCTAATGTAAGAATTATTAAACATTACTTCATTTTTAAGCAAGTGTCTCTGGCCAGGTGCTACTATAGAGTTTATTTCATCAGCCCAGGGAATCTTAGAAGGTCATCAACTAGATTTGGGTTGTTGTGGGGGAGGGAAAGTTTGGAAAGCTTGAAATTGTGGGGTTTTTTTCCTCCTCCCCACCTTATCTGGTACCTATTTTAATCACTGTTTAAACATACGTTTAAATGTTGGTTGCTTCTATTTAGTACCGTCATGGACCAGTTGTAATTTAGTTGCAAATCAAACGGAAGCAATGGCTGCTCGTAACTCAAGGGAAAAGGTGGCTAACAGGTAACACCTTTATAATCTTAATTTTTTTTTCTTCATGTTTAGGCACTTGATGTTTGCAGAGTTTCTTCCTTCAGCTCTTTGAGAGGAGGAAGTTTGCTCTAAAATGTTCATACATTGAATTTATAGGAAATTGTAGGTCTGGGTGTCGTTCACTTCATATATGTGTGTGTGTATATGCCCACTGTTGTTCTGAAAAATGTTCTGCTTGTGACGATCTAAGGACAAGACATTTGTAGAATACACACTAGAATATTATTGCTGCCAGTTCAATTGTATGTTTTAAAAAATAAATAGTAGACAAGCCTTCTGGCACACTTTTCTCAGAGCTTGTGTGGAAGCAGTTTACTTCACAGCAAAGTACACATCAATTTACCTGATTTAATTAGCCACATATCAGTTACACCTCTTGACAGAAAAGAGAATTGTTACTAGTGTGGGTAAAACATACATAAAGAAATTCTTTAAAGTAATTCTTAATTCCCTTTTGTTGTTTTCCAAAACAGAGAATCATGTTTTTATAATATGCTTTACCTGATACGGTACACTTTATCTGTCTTTTGGGTTTTACCTATAAACCAAAATAGGAATAATTAAGATCTAAACATCGTATTTTTCTTCTTTTCCGGGTTTATATAGAGCTATGGAAGTTCTAAAGGGAAAAGGTCAGAGATCTTGGTCTGTTGGGCTCTCAGTTGCTGATTTGACTGACAGTATACTGAAAGATAAAAGAAAGGTTCATTCTGTATCCACTCTGGCAAAGGTAAATGTGTTACATATGTGGGTTGGCAGTGTAATTATTTTATTTATACTGGATATGACAATTAATTTTAACAGCACAGACATCTCACTTAAAGTAACTGTTCCGAAGTAGCACTACTTCCATTACTTTCTTCCAGCAACAGCTTTCAATTCTGGTCCAAGAACGAGCAAAAATCAATTGTTGTTTTAATTAATCTGAAACCAATATTAAAAGTGGATTATTCTCCAAAAAATGCAAGTGTCTGAAGGGAAAATACATTCAAGGTTGCTGACCAGCTCCCTTGGAATAGCTGGATTTGGAAAACGAAGAGAAACGTGTGTGTTGCAGTTTCCAAGTGCTCAGTATTGGATGATAGATTTTTGCAGGGGCCAAAAGAGTTTAGTATCTTCTATGAAAGTATAAAATGCATTTTCTGCCAGTATTTCATTTGACCAGCTTTGAAAGAGCTGCTTTTTACTCCCTACTTTACATTAGGGAGAGGATTATGAAGCTATATTTGACTTAAAATTGCAGACTGAACTTTGTTTGAAGTTTATCCTGAGGTGCTTCATTAAAGCATTACGCCATTTCATATGAGGAAAAAACCTGTGTAGGAACATTTACTGGTCACTTGTGTTCACAGACTTCAGAAGGGTGATCTGCGTGTCCCAGTGCAGGCAAGTTGAGCAGGCTGCTTATTGTGTCGAGTACCAACATGCTCCTGATTTCACCATTATGTTTTCAAGTACAGTTTTTAGTCATTTATGAACTAAATGCAGTTCTAGGGGAGTGACAAGTCTCTTAAACTGCAGAGTACCTACAGAATGTAAAATTTCCCATACAGACCCTAAAAATAAGCGAAAATCTGTCGTGTAAACTTGAATTCTAGGGGCATGAGTTTAATAAAGTCTCTCACAGAATGAATATGGGATCAATACTTGAAAAATATTCCCCGGATAGCTCTCTTCAGTGACATTTTTTAATTTCTTTTGTTGAGTCCTAAAAGAACTAACAATACTGTACTATAAAATGTCCCTGCTCGTTCTACCTAAGAAACTGGTTAAATGGTGTTATGTAGTATAAGCTCTGCCCGCATTACAGAGGTCTGATGTATCTATATGGGGAAACTCCTCGGAGCGTGCAATGGTTCAGGATTTTTATCTGTACTGTTTTACATTGCACAGGATCTGGAATTTGAATGATGCAAAACATGCCATATGATAGAATATGATAGAATATCTTTGCTTAATTAAAATAAGTTATTTTGTGTAGTTCAGTGCTTCAGAGCAGAAATAAGTAACTGTGTGACAGTTTCTTTGCATGTTTTTTCAGGGATGTTGCAATATAAACAGTGAAGTATTCTTAAGTCTACCGTGTATTCTTGGAAGCGAGGGGGTGATGGAAGTGGTCAAACTAGAAGGAGATCCACGAGTGCAAGAGAAGCTGCAAAGCAGCGCGGGCTCGATTCACGACCTTCAGCAGCAGCTGCAGCTGTAAGCAAGCGCAAAGGGAGCCGCCGTCTCTGCTCGCACCAGTCGGAGGCTGGCTAGGCTGAAAGGGTTGCTTGGTATATACGGATTTCTAGATAAAACAAGAAGTTTTTTTACTTTACATTCGAAAAGCGCTTTCTCAGTTCTGGTTTATATCGTTTGATACTGCACTGCACAGAATTTCTTATTTGAAAAGCACACTTTTGGTAGCCAAACTGAGGACGGTAGAGCGCAAGAATGTTTTTACCTAAATTCAAGTGACTTGTGCCTGTGGGTTTTGTGTTGCTGATTAGAGCCCGATTCTTGGGTTATTCTTAGCTCTTTGTGCCTCACTCGGACACAGTCTAGGAGAGCAGCTTACCCAGCTCTGCGGGAACTCCAGTGCGTAGACCCAGCTAGAGCTCTTCCTCCTAATTACGTGGTGCATCAGGGGCTTGTCTAGAACGTGGTCACGCTCCAGCTCTTCAGGGCACCAGGGGATGCCGTTCGGTAGCTTGATCTTTCACGCCTATCACAGATGCTCTTGTGTCAATGGACTTTTTATTATAAAGAGGGAAAAAAAACCTAAAAGCATGATGTTAGCAGTATCCTTCCAACCCGAAGTGCTGGATATGAGTTTCTCTTGTATGTCTAATGATGTCTGAGACTTCCTGGCCGTGACTTGTTTACTCTTGGTTTGTAAGGGTGCTCGGAGCGCTAAAGCATCTGCAGTTCTCGCTACATGTGCGCAACGCGCTTACGCTGTGCAGCATTGGAAGAGGTGCTCTTCCTGAAAGGGAGAAGCAGGGGGTGGGCTTCGAATGAAAGATAAAATCTGACAGTTAAATCACACAGAAGTGTCTGCTCCAAAGCCAGCTGATGTCAGTAAGCATTACGTCAGCCTGAGGAGAACACAGCTACTTGACAAGGCAGCAGAACCTGTAACCTGCCTAGAAGGCAGCCAAGGTCATGATGAAAAAGCCGGATTTTTAGAGAAATCAAAAAGCCGATATTTTTAAGATAAAGAGTTTCTTTGAGGTTCTAACTTTCTGAATCACTGCACTGGTAAAAGACTGTTCGTCCTGATTATACCTCAGCATGGCATTGCAGGCAGAGATGTGGGATCCACTCCTGTGGCGTGCAGCTTAGGAGCGTCATTCCATCCACGTTACGTTTTGAGGTGTGACTGGTTAAGTATTGACCACGCTTTCAAAGCAAAAGTAGGATCCGTGTCATCTGTTCCTTTGTGCCTTTGGTTAGAACTCACAAAGAGCCAGACTTGCAAGGAATTCTGGGTTTATATTGATCTCAGAATTAAGATAAATATAGAAACAAAAGAGAAAACCTTCAGTAATTCAGAAATGTTTTTTTTTCTACTCAAATTTCCTTCTTTGTGGTGGCCAGTGAAAGGACAAAATTAGTGATAAGCTGCTGGTGGCAACTTTGCTGCTAGACTAAAAAAAAAGCGCCCAACACTATGGCTGAATTTTGGGGTTTGTTTTTTTTTCCTCTTACTTGGGGAAAAACAGCATAAAATTATGGTTTTCCGTTGTTCTTGGAAGTGTTGAGCATTTATTCTCATGTGAATAATCCAGGTATTTTGCTTATTTGGGGGTTATTACGAATAGTTTTAAAGTCTTCCAGGTTTGGGTTTGTTGGGGTTTTTTTGGTTTTGGTTTTTTGGGTTTTTTTTTTTTTTTGATTGATGCTTATGTTATGAAATAATCTTGGCTCTTCCCTGTCGTGTTTGTATCGTATTCCTTGGAAAATAACCAAAGGACGGGAGCTTGATCCGTGCGGAGGGAAATGGCACTTTACATTCTCACGGGAAATTACTTCCCAAAAATACTTTTTAACAATAAACTGCCTTACAAAGAATTCCTAGCGTTCCGTGAAGTGTTTCGGGGCGTGACGCGACGCAGAGCCCGCCGCACTCTCG